GCGCATGGATTTTTCACGGTACGAGTCATTCACGTTTTATATATTTTCATTTTAGTCTGTAAATCGAGTCTTAAGTTTAATTCGGTCTTTATGTTTGATGCACATTTAATTTTAGTCCTCCTGTCTTGTATTTAATTTCTTGTTAGAATTAGCCTTTGAGGTTGTTGCATTTCATTTTAGCCCCGAGATTCCCTTACTTTGATATTTTATTTGTTTGTACATTTGATATGTTTCCTTTGAAGATTACGTTTAGTCCTGCATACATTTGTGGGTTTATTCAATTTTAGTACATGAAATATGATCTTATTGTCCTATGATTTGATCTTTGTATAATCTATGATTTTAGCCTTAGAGTTTTGTGTTTATTCATTTAAGTCATATGTCGTTTTTTTATATTTGCATGATAACATGTAACATTATGATAATTTAATTATTAATGTAATATGGTCATTGCTTGCGTATATATGCATAATAAGTAATATAGGATAACTTTGTGTCTTGCTTTATTTTATTTAATATGTCGAATAAATTAGTGTTGTGAATATTGGTATTTACCTTCTATTAGGATGCATATAAGTTTTGGCATATTCATATCATTTACTTAATAAATACTATTGCATAATATGTATGATAGCCTCACTTGTATAACTCGACATATTCATAATCGAATTAAGGGTAATACACTTTTAATTTAAAATTGTTTTAAGTGGGCAGTCATAACTGATTTGAGGTCCGCTTTTAATGATTTTAAAATAAAAGTGTATCCCGAAAGTGAAACCAAAATAATTGATTCATCACCTAAAATTTGGGAACGAGAGAAAAAGAAATGTTCGTTTATTTAAATATATCGAGAAAAGGTTGTTATATCTTTAAGATCTGGTCTCGATATTTGTAAATAATCGAATATTCTTTATCTTTCTAAAATGACTTGGTAATTTTAATTTAATTTGCTTGAGTGTTTTTGAACGTTTAAATTTACATTTTTTATGGGATCAAAACTCAAAATAAATTCGAATTTGTAAAGTTCATTGCAAAGACGTTAATTAATCGACTAGGTACCTATTTAGGGCGTTGTGGGGGTGCTAATCCTTCCCCACACGTAATCGACTCCCGAACTCGGATTTTGGTAACGCAGACTTCAATTTGTTGTTTTAATTAAATTAGTTTTCATTTAAAATGACAAAACATTTTTGGGTGCCCAATCACACCCTAAGCAAGGATTGGTGGCGACTCTTGAACCGTATTTTTCGATCGTAAAGGAAATCCAAAATTTTTCGAAACGAGAGGCCTTTTAAATCGCATTGGTTTTTAAATTAAAAGGAGGTAACTTAAAAATTAATTTTTTTAAAATCACCCCTTTTCACCTTTTAAGGGAAAAATCGTTTCGACAAAAACTTTATTGAGATATAGCTCCAAGATGAGTTATCTTATGGTTCGACCGTCATATTCTTCCCAAAAGATGTGAAAACCTCGTGTTATTTTTTAAAATAAGACTTTTAAAATATTTTATAGTAAGATAAAATTATAAAATATCAAAATTTATTGTATTACAATTGTTTCATATAAAATAAAATAAAAATTCATACTTATGAAATCAAATTTTTCTTCACTTGTGCGTATAATAAAAAAAATATTTTTTAGGTTAATAAATTCTTTTTAAAGTGTGGGACCTCTAATTTTTCTTCACTTTTGCGTACAATAAGAAAAAATAAATATTTTTTAGGTTAACAAATTATTATAAAAGTGTGGAACCTCTAATTTTAAAATCCTATGTCACAAGTTACACATGCAAATTTGCTAATTAATTTTAAAATACTATGTCACAAGTTACACTTATGAATGTGCTACTGCTAGTTAATGGGCACGTCGACCACCTTTGTTCATAGAATCAGTCATCTTCCCGAAGGCCAAACAATTACTTCCAATGGCTCAGAAAGAACATAGAAAACTACCTATATATATATATAGCTAAGATGTGTCTCTAATTAATATATTATAAACAATAAAATAAACAAAAGAAAATCACGATTAGAGAGAAGCGTTACTCCCAATAAAAGCCAAGCAAAATCATCATCACTTGCACTTGGGACACCATACAAGAAAAAGGACAGAATGAGGGGCGTCTGTCATCAGCCAAAACCAAATAAAAAATCCAAATTTTCTAATACATCTTCTCTTGTTAAATGGAGCTCAAGAATTTAGTATCTTCTCCGAGGGCTCCTTGAGCGGTGTGTCCGCCCAGATCTGCAGAAGTTTACAGCGTATTATTGTTAGGTCCCATAGTACAGCCCTAATTTTGCATTTACACAAGGAAAGAACCTCAAGACAGTTCCAATTTTCAGGTAATTGAGCTAAGTTTCAAGATTGGCACTTGGCATTTAGGTCGAGTTGTGCTCAGGCAGATCATTTCTAACTTCAGTCATCTTAGACTCGATGGTTCAAATTTGGATTGATTCAATTCCAAGGATCAACATGTTCCATGAATTTAACATGTTCTATTTATATATTTTACGTATCAATGCGAACTCAGCAGCATATTAAGAGTGACAAACCTCATATTTTTTCTTTTGAAGGCTCCAGTACAGGGTCCATTGCTAAAGGCCCAACTGGCATTGATAGTCTGTGTAAGAAGTTCTGCTCCATCCATTGTGGATATGGCATTCTTTTGCTTCTTCAAACGCTTCATACTCGATCAGCGCATATCCCTAATTGGAAGCACTGACATGAAATTTTACTTGAACAAAGATACACATTATCAGGAAAATGCTAAACAAAGGCGGGAGTTTGTCAAAGAATAGTCCTTTGTATCATTATCTTCAAACAATAGTCCAATGCTATGAAATAAGCAATGTGAAAGAGTTCCATCACCATAAAGAGAACTTAAAAAGTATACCATTGCAAGAAAAAAAAATCAATGGTCGAAAAGATAACACCAATTGAGTAAGTTAACAACCTTGACAAATCCAGTGCGACGGTCGAGATTTAAATGCAAATTCTTGATCTCTCCAAATTCACCAAATGCATTGTGCAAATCATCCTCTTGTGCTTCCTCATGTGCACCACTGACCAAAACAATCCATCCTTCAATAGCTGCACATTTATTAATGAGAATAAAAAATCTATATTACCATTGAGAAGAAGAGTTCATGTACTTGCACTGTTTTTATCTACAACCTTAAAGATTGCAGGATAGATCTAAGATGGCACGGGTTTTGTTCAGAACTAATTTCGACTAAATTTTTATTCATATAACAAAAATTGAGTCTATGTCGTAATTATCTTGCTTTATAGGCTACAAAAATAATAGTAAAATGCTATAAAATAAACAAAAGGAAAGGGAAAAATAGGGTTGTAGGCACAAAAAAATAGGCTTGTTAGACTAGCTTTCCAAGAGATTTATCATCAAGATCTCCTCCAGCAGCTCAAATGCGAGCTCTCCGGAGACTTCGAGGTTCACGTTTTGTTTCCGAAAACTAACTTTTACGATTCGAAACGATGCATTTTTTAATGCCATTTTTTTTCTGGATACAGAGAGCTATAAGTCTATGGACTCTGGATCCTGCAGATCAAGATGTTGTTTTAGCCAATGAAGCTTTGCCGAAGAGTGTTGTTGATTATAGAGCACTTATCGAAATTACATGTATCAGATCCCCTTAAGATCTCCTGGCAGTGAAACGTGCTTATAAGTTTCGATACAAGCGCTCCCTTGAAGAAGACTCGCTTCTTGCACCGCCGGAAAGTACGTTTTAAGTTAACTGTGATATTTGAACTCGTATTTTCGTAATCATGTAACGGATACTATGTCGAATTCGATTCTGTGTTGTCATATTGCAGCTTCTAGTGGGAATAATTAGTGCATACAGATACGATGGGGATGAGTACGATGAGACATGGCACATTCTGAGGCCACCATTCTCAATCATGAATCCATGGAACGGGATTCCACCAAGAGGAAGTGATCCGAATCGTGAGTACAAGGAGTCAAGCACAACTCAATGCAACATTCAACGTCTACAAAGACATCTATGGTCGTTTCATCACAAAGGTACAATACCCTGATCAAAATCCGCAAAGATTACAGGCTTTATCTGTTGTTTTAACCCCAAACTGTAAGCTATATTATGCATTGATCGATCGGCTTGGTTCCATTTTCGCATTTTTAAAGGCTTTCCTGGGCGGTGACTATTTCTCTACGCAGCATGCTGTAATCCGTTGCATTCAAGACCCTCAAAAGCACTTTGCAAAGGTAGGGCATCGAATTTAACTGTAATTACAGACATGTACAGCACGTAATATGCAGGTGTTTAATGCGTACTGTGATGCAGGTGTTGCGAGCGGCCATTAACACGGCCGGCACGGATGAAGACGTTCTGAGTCGGGAGATCGTCACCCGCTTGGAGAAGGAATTGAAGGAGATAAATGAACTTTATCTGAAGAGAAACAATGTGTCACTTGATGAAGCGGTTGGAAGAGACTGTTCTGGGGACTACAAGGACTTTATTCTCACATTATTAGGGGCAGACCGAAGTTGAAGATGAAGCTCTTACTCTACCAAGGTTTTTGTTTTCTGATCTTAGGTAGACAAATAAATATGTTGTTTTTTAAATCTTGCCGTCTGGGGGCGATTCATAGCCAATCACTAGGAACCACGTGGCCATCTACATATATTATCAAAATTCATTTTGGATAATGTCATATTTTACTTATATTTTAATAAAATGTTCGTGTCTATATTTTAACAGAATGTCTAATGAAATATTTCCTACTTCAAATTGGACTTGTAAATAGCATTGAGAACACATGGACCCTAACCAAGAAATTTAGAGGCCATGCGAACTACGTTTAGCATTAAAATCACGATCCAGCAACAGGGATTACTGGTATCATAAGGATGGGGAATGAAACAATGCCAAGAACTAATGCTAATTGTCTAAAAGCCAAAGATTACAACATATCACAGAAATAATGGATATCAACAATTCCGCACCAATCAAGAAAGCTTACTGTTTCTCACTATGCTTTCCAAATTCAATATCCACTCGGCGTCTACAATTTCCTATTTTCATACCGTTCGCCATTCAAATCAGCCTTAAGACGATGGTTACTAGTTAAAAGATGATAATAATTATGGGAAGTTCGGAACCTGTATGAACTGAGCTTTCCAAAACAAGTGATGGGTCTACCTTCATTCTCAGGCCTTTTCCATATGCAGCAATAAGCAGAGCCTCAGCCCTTCCTTAAAAAGCTCAAAAGAATACAGAACCCGATGAGAATAATCAAGTTAGAAAATGTCAGTAAGAGAAGCTACATAAACACGATACAAGGCCTTGCTTAAATCAAACTTTATCTTCCAATCTCAGGACAAAACTCAATTTACAACCGGAAAGATCATTTACTATGAGTAGCAAATAATGAGGAGCATGTGATCCAAGATGCTCAATTAATGTACAAGAAAGATGTTTGGTGGCAACATATATATATGGCTATCAGTTTTAGTTTCTTCTACAGGCTGTATTCTTTCAGATGTAAAACACTGGGAATGGTCAGTCACCAGATTCTAAGGTCTATGAGGATGAGAAAGTAACTGCACTAACTAACTTTTTCATCTCCACAATTAGCATAGGCGTAAAAGAAAATACGCTGGTTCACAGATCAACATGATTATTTGTCAAGGTTCAAAGATAGCATAGGCACAAAGGGTTTTCTTAGTAGCATCAACCAACAAGTCAATAAGTGACAGGTTTATTCCAGCATGTGATCGCGAACAAGGCAGAGAACAGAGAGAGTCACATAGCTTTAACTATTAAGAGCTTATAAGCAATTTCCTAATAACAAATGAGATTAATGGCTATTTGGAAATAAAGGGGGAAAGAAAATTATGAATATGGACCGTAACTGTTTCCATCATAAAGCAGCTGACAGGAAACTTAGTGGAATGCAAACGGTGATTCTTTACAGTTAAGTATTAAGAAATAACAATAACGAATAGAGATTTAGAAGATCTTTGGAAACCAGAACACCTACCATGATCCTTTTTCCTTTTCAACATATCACTCAATGAGGGAAATAAAGTTGATGCAACTCTCCGACTATCATCCTGTCAAAAACCAGAATGGATAATAAATACTTACAAAAATCATAACTCAGGCTGTGAGGCATCACAATGTCTTAAAGGATCGCTTTGAAAGTTAAGATGATTCCTGCATGCAGTGGTTGAGACTGATACTTACAGAATGAAAAAGTTCAAAAGCTTTGCTTATTTACTTAGACCCAGAGCTACAGCTTCTGGTGCCATAAGCACATGTGACAGTCAAGATGCAATGAATCTCCATCTTACCAATTAAAGGGGAGGACACCATACTGCTTGAAACTTCTTGAAAAAATTGGATTCGTTACAAATATAAAAGATTTATGTAAAATAATGTGATTCTTCTATTCCTTTTCATCATTAATTCAAAGGTTATCGCTTAAGAGCATGGCTGTCATGTGATGGGCCTCAAATTGACAACTTACCTGGTTTTGTGTACTCTTACTGCTAAGCAAAATTCGTAATTGAATTGCAATAACAGAGTTTCTTCTACCTTTCAATAAGTTAAGTTAGTGAAAAGTTTCAGATTAAATTCACTTACAATATCAATCCAATTGGCTTTGCTATATAAATTACTTGTTATTAAAATCTAAATGTACGTATGACTATGGGTATAGAGTGATGCTATAACTTACAAGTATGATATACAATCATCAGTAAGTCATCTACTGTTTCAGTTGCAAATTCCGAAACCGAGAAACTGCTCCACTGACCATTTCACTCATCCCACTGAAGAAAAAGAAAAAGAGAAAGAGAACAAGAAGGGACTAAATGGCTGAAAATGCAATCTGCTTGGCATTTCAATTCAAGGGCAATACACTGCAAGTTAAGAAGAATGGCTCAGCTGATTTCTTTTGCATTCATCTACCAATATTGGTCCATACACAGGCATAACAGCTCTTTCTTTTCCTTTCCATAGCTCTATTATCCACAAGTTTCTTCAATTTTATGCATGCATAAATGAACTATATTTACCTCATTTTTATCGAATAGTATTTGGTCAACAGGCATGAATCAGTGATTAGACAATAACACTACTATACTAACCTTTGTAGAGCCAGCTCCAGTGAGTTCAAACTCTTTCTTCCACAACAACGATGATACTGGAACTACAGAAAACCCTGAGGCAACTAGTATCCCGATCCATAATCCATACCCAAATCCTCCACTCCACCAACCCTAAATTGATAAATAAGAAAATAACAATATCAGCAAGAACTATTAAAACCTTGGATCATCAAACATTTCTTTTCAAACTGACGAGTGTGAGTGCATAAGAACACAGAAGGAAATAAGCTAAAGAAAGTCCCTAAAGGGACCCCAAATAGTTATTAGAAGTTGAGATTTCCACTTGAAGGTCTCAGATTCAGACTTCAGGAATGGAAGGCCGGATTTTTCGGGATGGGAAAGAGCAGCCTGTCCTTTTTGCAGTTCATGGCTATAATATAAGTACCAAATGCAAAATAACTCAGAAAAACATTTAAGGCAACATAATTTGCAAGAGGAAACACCGAATGTATAGATCAGAAATAGATTGCGCCAATATAAAAACATGGAATAACAGATTAGAGTAGCAACAAAGAGAGACAAATAATGGCAGTGATGATGATGACACGAAAACGATGCATATAATCAATGATTGAAATGGTTCAACAGAATTCAATTGTGTGGTGACAAATGCTAACCTGTTTCCCATCTTTAGGAAAGGGGATAGATTGCTCTATATATGCAACAGTGCCTAAGGCAAGGTCAACCAATGCACAAATAAGATAAACAGGAGATGAAAGCAATATCTCAACACAAAGAGAAAGATACAGAGAGAGGAATACCAGTAGGAGCCTCTAAACTTTTAACCAAGTGAACGATTGACCTGGCATCTAAACGTTTTCGAACTCTGTTTCCAACTTGAACAGGCAAGTACGGCGAATCAAATATCTAAATATCGAACAACTAAACATAAGAAAACCCATGTCCAACTTAAACCCCGTTACAGGATTCTCATTACTCAATTATAGTAACTGATACTTGAATTTTATTTTAGCAATAACTTAAATAAGAGAAGAAAATGTTTACCTGAGCGGAGCAACCAGAGGAATCGGTTTTCACGAGGGCCAAGGCCCCGGAGAGGTCAGGATCAATACCAATGACCCAAGTAGAATCCGCATTGGTCGGGGTAGGGTCTTCGGCGGGAGGGCAAGACAAAGAGTCCAACCAATCCGCCTTGAGAGGAGCAGCAGAGAGCTTGAGGTTGTTCCCTGTCGTTGAAGATGAAGATGAAGTGAAGGGTACAAATCTGGAAGAGGAAGAGAAAAGAAGGGTTTATTAAGCTTGAAAGTGAGTGAGTTCATGCGATGAGTCTGAGGAAGAAGCTGAATTTCCATGGATATATATATATATATATATATATGTCTTTCAATTCATTGCCATTCTGATTCTGCTTTTGCTTCAGCTTCAGCTTCAACCCAGGAAATTTTTTTTACGCCAGGGGCTATTCTATATGCTTATCCAACGTCTTCTAATGTCAAAATTCAGTCCACTGCTTGGGGGTTTTCTTCCTGGGGTAATATAACTTTTGGCCCCTGGTTTGGTTTTAATATACAATTTGAACCCTGATATTGGCTTTAAGCGGTAATTTGACCTCTGGCCTTGGTTTTAAACTACAATTTGACCACCTAATTGTTTTTCTTTTACAATTTTGGCCTCTGGCCTTGGTTTTAATATCCTACTTACTTGAATTTCGTATGCATGAACCCTAGGTTTACTATCAATTATTAATTTTGGTTTTTGTTCAATAAAATTTACGATTTCAGAGCTCTACAAGCTCATTCATGCAACTTTGACGTTGAGTGGATCTTCGATTTCCATGAACTTCATTTATACAGCAACAACTTGATCAATTTTGCCCAGGTATTTCTTGTATAGAAGAAACGATGGTGACATTTTTAGTAAGCATATCTAAGCAAAAGGCAGGCTATTCCAGGATCTCTGATGGCCAAAGGCGTTGCCATGTCGGAATCTCCTCGTTGCCAATTTTTCTGATTCCTCCATAAAATCCATCTGCCTCGATGTTCGTTCCGATGGACTGGCGTGAACCTCCACCTTGAGCCGGGGTGTACTGATTGAACTCCAACACCGCGGTGTCTGTTATCACCACCAAGATGTTTGAAACCAGACAACGATTCAAACATCAATAACTACAATGCACTCTTGAACAATGGATGAAAGTGTGTTTTGCTGAGCCCGAAACCGAACACCCGACGGGTGCACCGATATGCACCGGGCAATTCTTGTTTGCTTAAAGTATATTTATCTTCTTATTGCTCTCAGCTTTTTCCAAGTTGAAAATGATCACCAAAAGAGACCCCTTTCCCTTCATCTTTATTTTGATGGAGAAAGGATGGGAAACTAGTGCTATTGTAAGTTGAAAAGGGACAGAAAAATGAATGAAAAATACACAAGTGTAGAACAATCAATGTAGCCCCACATAGCGGAAAGATTCAAAATAAGCAAAACACACAGGGTCCATAGGAGACATTGGGTTCTTCCAGTGTGGTTGGCCATAAATACTCTGCTGATATAGAGGTTATCAACATGCTGGTTGAAATTACGAGCTAACGAAAGCGATCCGCCTTTCGGGACCAACACAACAGCACAAGTCGTGAACCATGTATTGCAGAGAAAATAAGATTCGTGAACACGACCTGCCCTAACTCGGTGTCAGCTATGATAATAGAGTATCATTTGAAAGAATAAAAGATGAGATAAACTTACCACTATTATGGCATCGGCAACAGTTTTTGTTCCCCATCACATGATTTAAGTGACCAACTACACCGTACCACCAACCTGCAACTTATACGGCAACCGTATCAGCTATAAAATCATTATAAAATGATTATGTATTCTTTAAAAGAATTTGGTGGCATACTAACTGCATAAGATGTATGGTAAGAATTGTTATTATAATGAAGAACTAACCATAAGGGAATTCTTTGTTTCTTCTCCATTGAATCTCAATGTTATCTCCAGGGCGTAGCTCATTCAAACAATCAGAAATATGAAGATCGTGTGGAGAAGTGTCGAAAGGCAGTGCTCGCCTGCTTGGAGCCTTTCCCATGGCACATTGTTTTCTATGGTCACAGCCCTCATTCCATGCGGAAGGTACCTAAATATCAAACCGATCTAAGATTAGTTTCCAAGTATCAGGCCTAATTTGATTCTCTATAGAAAATAATTATGTTGATCTCCAATGATTACCTGGCTTGGAAAGTGTCGGTACGGGGATCATAACTAAGTTCGGCATCATAACATGACAACATGAACCCAACATGGCCATTTTACATAAAGGCACGGCATTTAGAATCGAAATAAAATTAGAAAAAGCAGCAGGGAATAGACTGGTTAAATTGGTTTGGCATAGTTGGAGAGTCATAAACAATACCTCACGGTTATAGACCTGAGCAGGGAACCAGAATCTGCAGGTTTCAAGAGCAAGAAACCAGGACATAATCGAATCACCTGGCAATGAACACTGCTTACTACTGTCATCAACCTTTGATTGAATCCTCATCAAACCTTTTGGTTTCCCCTGTTTCAAGTTACTTGAATCCTTTCTTGTTCTTGAAGCAATATGTCATTTCCACTCTCTATAAGCAGCAGGACCAATAATTCTACCCCACTTCTTTCTCATGTGCTTTTCCCAGAAATGGTCTTTAACACACCTACTTCTTAAAGAACTGCAAACACCAGCCATGCTACAAAGAGCAGCAACCTCTCAAGAATGCATTCCAAGACCAAATCTGGTAGCTCCAAAACTGACATGGCACTTTCTTCAACCTCCTCAAAGTTATCAACTTTTGAAATGAAAGACATCTTTTTGGGGGTCATTTTGGCAAGGATTGTGGTAAAATAACCAAAACAAACAAACAAAGAACTCCTTAGCAGACAGCATATATCATTAGTATAATTGTTTTTGGATCATTGATTCAGCATTTCAGCAATTGGCATTTGTAGCAATTGAATGTATAAGCAAACAGATATCCATAATTTTGTTTTTTGCATTTGTAATAACATATAATTTCTAGATGCCTTGGTTCATTCATAATGTCATGTCCTTGGAAACTCCACCTTAAAGAAAACAGAAAACAATTTCAAGGCAGAGCATCATTGAACTTCAACCTATATAAACAACCCTGCACCTCTACAATTTTCACAAAACTGAGCCAAACAACGCCTTAACCATCTCCATTTTTCTGATACACACAATGGGTGTCACCAGTTACAGTGATGAGTACAGCTCCACAATCCCTCCAGCCAGGCTATTCAAAGCCTTGATTGTGGATTCACGCAATCTCATCTCAAAACTCATGCCATTGGATATTAAAAGCATCGAAAATTACCGGTGACGGAGGAGCCGGCAGCATCAGGCATATCAACTTTGCTGAAGGCGAAATAAACTACTAAACTTGCTACCCAATGTCTATATATACACTGATCAAGTATAATTATGCAGGTAGCAAAGTCAAATACATCAAGAATCGGTTGGATGAGCTCGACGACAAGAATTTTTCATTCAAGTATTAGCTTGATTGAAGGTGATGGACTAATGGAGAAGCTTGAAAAAATCACATGTGAGTTTAAATTTGAGAGCACAGCAGATGGTGGGAGCAAAAACAAGATGACAAGCACTTACTACACCAAGGGTGAGTTCGAGCTAAGTAAAGAGGAAGTTGACGGCGGCAAAGAAAAGGCCTTGGCTACGCATAAAGTTGTGGAAGCCTATCTTCTTCAGAATTCAGATGCTTATGCTTAATTAAAGACACCAGCTTTTAGCATGTGTCTGGGTATAATTGTGTTAAACAAGGATTGGAATCCATTGATTGTTACGTATTTTCTTCCTTGAATGTATCTCTAAAACAGGACAAAATAATTGATGAAAATGATTTGGTTGCAGATACAAAGCAGTGGTGTTTCATTTAATAACTGTTTGACTATAAGTTACTAATATATTTTTAAATATTTAATGATTCTATAAATTAATAGAAGGATTTAAAATCAAACGGAATGTTACGTTTTATGTACTATTGTTTTGGGTAAAGTACACAAATGGTCCCCTGACTAAAGGGTACCACTTTATTAAGTCTTTGGACTATAGAAAGTTATAAAATGATCCTCTGACTATAGAGTGTTATTTTGTTGAGTCCATCGACTATTAAAAGTTAAAAAATGGTCACCCAACTATTCATTATATCCAAAACTCGTCATTTTTCGTTAAAAAATTATCGGTTGTCTCAGCTGAACGTTAACATGATGTCTGGGATATGATAGTCGTTTGTGATTCTAGGATTAAACTTTATCATATCACGATCAACAAGTTAACGTTCAGCTCAGAATACTGATTTTTTTAACAAAAAAAAGGACAAGTTTGGAACGTATGAATAGTCGGGTGACCATTTTGTAACTTTTAATAGTCGAGGGACTCAACAAAGCAACACTCTATAGTCGAAGGATCATTTTGTAACTTTTAATAGTCGAATGACTTAATAAAGTAGTATCCTATAGTCATGGGACTATTTGTGTACTTTATCATATTTTTTATAGTATGGGAATTATAAGGTAGTATTAGTGTTTCTTAACTTATTGACAATACACGCCGTGCAAACACGAATATTTGTATTGTTTTTAAAATATTTTTAATTTTATTTTATTGCTATATGTTATTTTCCTAAATAACATAATTGAAAAATAATTTAAACAACCCATTCCTTTTTCTTTCTAATGTTTAACCAAATAAGAAATGCTAAATTTCATTTCCTCCCTTTCATTCATTTTAACCATGGGAACAAAAATTAAATAAATTTTTTAGGGTAAACTACGCATTTAGTACTTAATTATCAGTTTTGATCCATTTTAATACTTAAACTTTCAATTTTTTTCAAAGTCATACCTAATGTTTAGTTTTTGTTTCATTTTACTACCCCTATTAAAAATTTAACGTATTTAGTACCTAAACTATAAATTTTAGTCCGTTCTAGTACCTAAACTTTCAATTTTTTCAAAATTTAACGATAAATTTTAAACGGGTACTAAAATGGAGCAAAAACTAAAGTTTTTAATGACAGTGTACTAAAATGAAACAAAAACTAAACTTCATAAATGATTTTGAAAAAATTGAAATTTAAGTACTAAAATAAATCAAGACTTATAGTTTTTATACTAGATGTGTAATTTACCCCCTTTTTTATGAAAGTTGATACTAATGCATATGATGTTGTTGGTGTTTTATATATGGAAGTCCCCAACATAGAGGGAAAAACGGT